ATGTACCCTCTCAATCCATCAAAATCACCCATTTTCACCAATCGGATCGCTTAATACTCCCTATGTCTCCTTTGTCCATCGCTTTGTCTATCAAATTCAATAATCAGCTCGCAAGTGAGATTGTATCGATATCGATTGGTTCAACACGTAAACAGAGCCTCAAACGTCAATTGAGTTAAAGACCGCCCCGATCGTCGTTTCTTTCGTCGTTGCCGCTGACGTCACTGGCGCTTCATTTATTTCCCATTTATTTTTACGGCCCGAGCACCAACGAGCACACCCCATCTTTCCCTCTGCACATGGTTCTGTTTGGTAGAAATAGTCCATATATGCGTCTTTTTAAAATTCCCGCTTCAAAAACGATACTACGACACAGGTAAACATTTCGTAGGAGGAAGCGTTTCATCCCACCCTTGCGCACTAGGATATACTACACAATATTCACTTACTGCTCTCTTCGCTATCACGGCAGGGAAGCCGCGCCTGAAAGTGTCTTTTTAAAGACGCAGTAAGAGACTTCCTCGCTCCATTTCGCATGCACACTGAAAAAAGATGAGTTAATCCCATTGTTTGGAGCCGAGAGTGTAAAAGAACTCGGCTCCTATAAATCACCGAGGCGGGGCCGGAGAAGTTAAACAATCCGAAAACTATTCAATCCCTCCGATTGATGAAAAGTAACCGAGGCAGTGTCTGAAACTCGGGCGCTAATCAAACAGCTGGGATCGAGTGCGAAACATCGATCAAAGGGCGGAAAGTTTACATTCCTCGGGAACTTTCCCCGAACTTTCCCATCCGACGCCGTTGACGAGCGGGAAGAGTTACCGGAAACCAAAGCTCTTTTTCATAGCGTCTCTTAAAAGATGCACGAGTCGGTTGAGCTTCGACGGGATTAGATTTGGGGGCCGGGCTGGCGTGCGCTCCATACGATGGGCGGAGTTCGAAAGGGATCGAGACCTCTATGAGAGACAAAGGGGGGTTCCTTTTAATGAGTGGCGCTTTACCGCTGATCACGATACAGTCTCCATCACGGAGGAAAATCCATGGCTTTATAAACCAATTAGTGGTTCATATGGAACATTATTAATAGTCATAATGAACGAATGATTCTCGGTGTGTGAACCATACTAAGGTATCTCGTCAGTGCTCCCACTCCATGTCCGTCAATAATAGTTCCGGGACTCGGAACTTGTTTGTTCCAATTCCTCCCACTCCATGACCGTCAAAAGTTCCGGCTTTCCTCTTGGATTTTTCTTAAGTCCTAAAAAAGTTCCGGATAATGAAAAAGATGCGGAAAATTCAAAAGTTCCGGGAAAAATTCAGGACAATCTCAAAAGTTCCGGAATTCGGTACTACTTCCGGAAAATGGGAGCACTGTATCTCGTACCATACTGAGGTATTTTTACCATCGCTAAGGTAAATGTGCTATGATTATACCGCGGCGTTAGTCCGCAATCACATTTCTCGTTCGCGGTGTCTGAAAATCTACGTTATTTTTTAAAAGGAAAACAAATTGACATCGTTCATTGAAGTTTCCGCAGAATTTTCTTAGCACAGAGAAGAAAAATCGATCACCTTGTGACAATTGAATTTTCTTGTGAAAGAGCGGCACTTGCTGGGAAAAAGGAAAATCGGATGTATTTCTGTCAAACAGAACTATGTGCATTAAGACATGAGCCATGAGACCCATTAGAATACATGCATAACAGGGCTCACGTCATAATGCACATAGTTCCGTTTGAAAGGAATACGTCCAGTTTTGAGTGAAATTACGGCGTTTATGCTGTGAACGGCAACAGTTAGTTAGTTAGTCAGTACATTTTAAGGCATTCAGCGTCACAGGCTATTAACGTCTTTACAGATAATTTTGAAAATGGGAGTATATACGAAAATTTACTACTTTAAATTAGGAGAGGTGAAGAGTTTCAGAATTTTGGTAGTAATATTGGTTCATCGCATGTAAGTGGGTTGGCATTTCTGTTGATTGTAGGGGAGTAGATCTGTGATTGGAGATATCTGAGGGGAGAGCAGTCCATAATAACGTGTTTGATGGTTAGAGGTGATAAATTATAGGAGTTACAGATGGGTTGATTTTCTTTGGAGATGATATGATTGTGACTGAAAAAAGTGTGACCTATCCTGAAACGCGCAATTTGAACTTCACATGATCGCAATATACTGCGATGGGGTAGCCGCTTGATATATGTATGGACGACCCAGAAAAAAAAAGGTTCCTCATTCCGAAAAGTGATCCTCCGGTGTGTTAAATTCGGGCATTCTGGATGCGACCGGAACCCTGTCCTTGGCGAAACTTCGACGAGTAATCCCAAAGACATAAAGACGGAGCACTAAAAGCAAAAAATGAAGCTTCTAGAGCTTCTTTTCAATCACCTCTACTATTGGCTAGAGGATTGGCGGCGAAATCGGGACAAGTTTGAATTCAAATGTAGGGCGGGAACTAATAAATAAAATTGCGGAAACAAAGTATTTTAGGTTGATTTTTGCCCAAATTCAGGTACACACTCATATTTTATTAACTTTAGGTTAGTTTCGGTCCGTCGTCGACCGACTGATTTCATTTGGGAGTAACGTAGATCTAGAACTGTAACGGCCTGTTTGAACCTGCAGAACCACCATAAGCAGGAGAAAAACTAACTTTATCTGAGATTACTGCCTGTTACCGAGCAAAAGTAGGTGTAATATATTAGGACGCAGACCGAACTTTCTTAATATAATCGTTTTAAGCATTTAAAACACGTTTCGAAGAAGAAATAAGGAAAAATCAAGAGGACAAGTTCAAATCAAATTTCCGTTTGCCGCCATGGATTCCCGCGCTCATTTACACACTCACACAAACGCGCAGCGCCGAACCTAGCTTCACTTTTTCCCCGTGCTTTTAGATACGAGCACTCAGTCTTTATGTCTTTGAGTAATCCCCACTTGATTTGAAGCCCCGTCCGGCGGTCAATTACGGCATTGTTGGCCCGCGGAGACGGGGAATTTACGAGCGCGGAATCGCGAACACACACCGCCGACCGCGTCATCAACGCCCCATAAATTTCGGGGCCGCAGCGGCGCGGCGGTGGGGTTGCCTACCTCTCGCGGATTCCCCGGCGGATTTGGGCTCGGAACCGCGCTCGAATTACTCCCGCCATCCTGGATTCCGCTGCCCTTCCGGCGTTGTGGGAATTCATTACCTGAGCCCCGCCCCCCCCNCCCCGGGGGGGGGGGGCTTCATACGGGTATTAATCCTGGCCATGTGAAATGTGTTGTCGATACTTTCCAGGGGCAGTTGATTTAATCACGTCGTCTCCTTTAACCTGCGGGTAATTCATTTGGGTCGAATCGGCGGAACCGGTGTATTCCAACGAAATGAGCTCGTCTACAACGGACACAGGCAACAGACAGCAAACGATAAACCGACAATAGAGAGGGAAAAATTTGTTCCTTTTTAATTGCACTTATTCAGGAACAGGTTCTACTTGGCCATGATCCCTGAAAATTTGAAAAACCTGGAGATGTCTTTATCGCCCTGTTGTCTATAAGGACATTAAATCTCTGTCTATAGTTTGCTGTAGACCTCTGAAAAGAGGTATAAGCCGTTTAATCTGCAAGAAAAAAAAAAAAAAAAAAAAAAAAAAAAAAAACACTTATTTATGATACGCGCTGTTTGCAAAATTCCCTAACTTTCCGTTGCTTTTCTAAGCTACCATAAATTCCCTAACTTCCAGGTTTTCCAGACCGCCCGAAACCTTCCGAAATATTAAAGACAATTAAAGAGCGGATCGAGGTTTACGAGCAATGCGTAAAGAATTCCTGCAGTGATGTACTGTTGTGCTAAGGCAAAATGCCGTATGAACCTTCGGGCGTTGCCAAATTTCTTTTGATAAAACAAAAATTTCTTGGCAAAGTTATGAATATTTTCCTTCCAATTTTTCAGATAATTTTCTTCGCAATTCCTTAGAGCTCCTGAGTATTTCAAGGAAAAATTAATAAATAATTGAAGAATTTTTCTTAAAAATAAACATTTTACCGAAGGAAATTTTGCAACCCTCGAATGTTCATATGGCGTTCTTCCTTGGCACGGCAGTGTAGGCGCCATGCGTTTAACGCCGACAGCTGTGTTTGGCGCAATGCGTGAAGTATTCCTACAGTCTTGTAGGCGCCAATATACGATTTACGCCGACCTTACTGTGGCGTGCTGTGTTTGGCGCAATACTTAAAGTATTCCTACAGTCCTTATATTTACGTATATATTTTTACCACATGAATTTCAATTAATAAACCTATATCATGTGAATTGCAATTTGCAAAGAGGAACCAAAAGCATTGTCATGTTGCAATGATTGTGCAACTCCACCCTTTGCAATATAGCTACTGCAATCATGCAAATATATGGAATTCTCGTGGTAATTTTTGTCTTAAATATACAGTTATTAGCGTGTATAGTAGAAAATGTTTAGAGATGATCAGGTTTTTCTTCCAAGATAAAAGAATTTGCGTAATTTCAGCAACATCGCAATGCTCTTGGTTCCTTTTTTTTGCAAAATGCAATCCATGTGATTATCAGCAAATACTACTTTCAACCCTGCAAGCGGAAACTTCTACTTTCGGTGATCCACTACTCAACTCTTGAAATCATCCTCTAGTTAGCTGTTCCACCGTGCCGAGTAAGAACGCCGTATGAGCATTTAGACGTTGTCAAATTTCTCTTGACACATCTTAAATTTTCGGGAATATTTGCAAATATTTTTCTCCAATTTTTCGGAGAATTTTGTTCGTAATTTGATCTTAAGCGTCTGCAATTTTCATCGAAAAATACACATAGCTTTCTTCGAAAATAAATATTTTCTGAGAGAAACCTGGCACCTTCCGAATGCTCATACGGCGCTTCTCTGCAGCATGGTAATGTTGAGCAAGGTGGGAAGCGATTAATAGTGTTGCCACCGAATCTAGAAAATGAAATTCCTAGCCATTTTTCTAATTTCCCTGACACATTTTGGTTACATTCCCTGCAAATTAAAGGTATGTCAGATGGTTAAAAAGACATAATTGGAACTGGTTTTCGGGCAAAACTTGTTGATCGAAACGTCAAATCCATTGAAAAAAACAATCAAAGTTGACTTAACATCTATTCCCTGACATTTTCACAATTTTCCTTGACATTGGAGAATTTGCAGGTGTCTCACATTTGATGAATTTCGTCTTTAAGTGGAAACTACTGACTGAACTGAGCACGAGGAAACCCTTGTTTCATGCATTGAACATTTATTAGAGAAGATATGACGAAATTATCTATTCTTCTAAAACACATGTGTCTATATAGGAAATGCTAACAGATGACGTCACTGGGTGGTGCATTTTATCACTTTTAAATATATTTGTATACTATTTCCCATATCAGAAAAAAATTATAAAAAATACAGTGAAATCAGCTCTTAAAAACTTTCAGATGAGGCAATAAAAAATCTGCATGCAAATTCTGCTTTCCAGGTTTTGCTATTACGGCGCGCTCGGTCGCTCTGCGACGCCTACCCGCCACAGGATCCTGCTATGGTAGAGATCTTCCGGAAGCTGGCATCTCTCCATCTCACTTTTTGACTTTTAAAAATCTGACTTTTTAAAATTCCATGACAATTCCCGGTTTTCCCAGTATTCCCTGACTGTAGCGACCCTGGATTTAACGATGAAACAAAAAAGAGAAAAGACGATAAACTCACCTATGATAGTTGCCAGGATGATGAGGCCCAAGACGAGAGCCGTGACGAGGGTGAACACCACTTCGACGGAGTCCTCTGCCTGCGGGAAGGTCCCGTTGAATCCGCTCCCGTTCAACTCCCACCGAATGTCCAAGTCGGAGAAGTTCCCCACCGCTGCCGGCCACACGAGCCCGCTCTCGTTCAGCTCCTCCAGGAACCCGAGGCTCTCGTTGGTGCCGGCCCAGAGGACCGGCGCCAGGTCCGCGTCCGTGCCGGGCATGACCGGCGTCGTCGCCGCCGTCGGAGCCGTCGAGCCGGCCAGTTGCTTCAGGTACCAGTTGAGGGGCCGCCGAGCCTCCCGCCGGACCAGCTGGAAGAGGCCTTCGCTCAGCACCCGCTTCCCCATACGCTTAAAACTGGCCCAGAATGCCGGGCATTGGGACCGGCACTATTGAATTGCACACCGACGTCGAGTATGGGGGCTTTTAGGGTTGATATAGCCTCGGAGCTTTGATTTGATTCAGTGGAAGCCGGGCATTGGGACCGGCACTATTGAATTTCACACTGTCGTCGAATATGAGAGCTTTTAGGGTTGATATAGCCTCGAAGCTTTGATTTGATTCAGTGGAAGCCGGGCATTGGGACCGGCACTATTGAATTTCACACTGACGTCAAATATGAGAGCTTTTGGGGTTGATATAGCCTCGTAGCCACGATTTGATTCAGCGAAAATGAGCAAGACTTAGATCGGAGCCAAAATGCCGGGCATTGGGACCGGCGCTATTTTTTTTCTAAAATAACGTCGAATATGAGAGATTTTAAAACCGATATAGCCTTGAGGCTTGTGAATCAACCCTCCGATTTTGCAAAAACGTGTGAGGCTTAGAACGAAGTCGAAAATCCGGGCATTGGGACCGGCACTATTAGTTCTACAATGACGTCAATATGACAGCTCTTGAGGTCGATACAGCCTCCTCTGGTGATGGAGCTTGTGCTATGAATGCTTTTTCGGTTTTAAGGAGTGAGCGAGGTTTTGATCGGATTGAATTTAGATTAAATATTTGGGTATTGAGGAGCAGTGTGACACATCAACGTTGAATATAAGACTCTTCGGAGTTGATGTGGCCTTGTTCGATGAGGACTGAAAGCTTTGAATGCCTCTGATGTTGCACAGACGGGGAAGGCTTAGCTTGGAGCCAGGAACCCAGGTAATTAGAACCGGTCCTGTATTTTCTTACACACCGGCGTCGAATATAAGACTTCTTGGAATAGATTCGGCCTTACTTGATGGCGGTTCAAAGCTTTGAATGAGAAGCTTTTGATACGGCTTCGACTTCGCAGAAATGCGTATTGTTCTAGTTTGGCAATAAATGAAGCGTTTGAAGCTGAAATTCGACTGAAGCAAATATTGGTATTATTCAGAGGTGGAATGCCTTCATTCTACGAAGATCTAGTTAGAAGCCTTGGATGTACAATTTGTGATGGCTCGACGCGTTTTTCAGACCTTTGATAGGCTTCAAAGCGAAGGCAGGTTGCTCAGTCCTTTAGTTTCATTAGCTTTTTCCGTTCAGAAATTGAGTTACTTTTCATCCTCTTTTTCCACTAATCTAAGGGCTGAGTTTTGGTCGAATTGTGATGCTTATTGATCGTCACAAACAGTTGATCATTTCTGAATACGGTCAATGACAATCGGCCCGACTTGAAATCAGTATATCCGATTAGTCGCTTAGCGGATTTTCAATAGTGACGAATGCATCACGGTCCTGAAAATTACCAAAGTAAGCTCTAATAGTAGCAGATTCAGTTCTAGATTAGGTCTCCATAACACCCACCAATATCTCTTTGTGTTTTGAATAATCAATTTAAGAAATCTCGTTTGTTCGCTATGCTAGTTTGAGGTTAGGATCACCGTTGTAATCTTCTTTTCTTTCTAGCTCTGATTTTGGAGCGACTTTGTGGGCTCATTTTGGCGGGAAATATAAATTCGAACACAGGTCTATCTTCAGACGGTGAGGCGGCTTTGATGTTGAGAGATTTCACGGGATATATATTCTATATATTAAATGGGTTATAAATGTTTCGGCGGGTTTCGGTCGCGTATTTTTTGAGAGGTATGGTTCTATATCGGACCCTTCCCATTGCGGTGTTTGCTAGTCCACTCCTGATCCACCAGGTGTTGTTTCTCAATCGAATCCGCTTTCTGAAACAAACGAAAAGATGAAAATCATTGACAAATTATTTTTGATTAAGATGCTTTTCAATTTCAATTTTCTATTTTAGAATAAATCTTGTGTCCTTACCGGGACTCGAACCCGAGACCTTATTACTATGAGGTCAGACGCGCTGATCACTAGACCAACCTGCAGGGTGATTATTGAAATGACATAATTATAGAGTCGATATCATTTCAATAATCGCCCCGCTGGACTGCAACAATAGTAACTGCCTGCCCGGCATTAACAGAGGACATCTCCGTCCGTTAGTTTAGCCCCTTCAGTTTTGCGGCAAGCAACTATTTTCGCTCCATGGTAATGATATAGCACCACGCCAAATTGAAGGAGATTTAAAAACGAAGCTGATAAAACGATCTAATCATCTGCTCGTGTCCTCGTGCAGTTTGGTTATTCTTTAAGTCAGCATTAGACGAAAGATGAATCCAAATTTTGATGGAATCAACCATATTTTTATTTCATTCATTACATCCGGTATCATTATAAATGGCGACAAATTTTTGACAAATTGTCGAGTGTATCTGCCGAAAAAGATTTCGCTCGGTTTTAATCCCTGCGAATTTGACAGTGTAGAGCACGTATTTGTAGTTTCAGCAGCATCATTGGGCTCTATCATTGGCGGATCAAGCAAATTGACAACATCGTTTTTACTCCATTTAAACATATGGAAATGTATCGATTCCTGGAGGGGCCAGGTGCTCCGACAAGAATCGATTATTTGACATAGGTTTAAATGGAGGAAATCGTGTGTTGCCAAATTGCTGGATCCGCCCCTGGGCTCTACCCGGTTTACCGGATTCAGGAAAAAAAGAGATAGGGGTTAAGTCCGAACATAGACATTTCCCAATTAGACAATTGTTGTAGTTCCCCAATAAATTGGGTTACTTACCCGAATGTTGCGGCACTACCCTAACTTCAGTTGCGCTACCACGGGTACCATGCACCAAAATTAATTGGAAATGTTCATATCCAAAAAATTGGGCTCGTGCTACAACTTTAGGGAATAACCCCTAACACTTTTTTTCGTACCTCAAAGCATTGAAAAAGAAAAGAAAAAACTGTCTCCATTTAATACGGTAAAGCATATAAAATTGGACGAACTTGTTTAATTCCACGTAGAATCGTATTTAATGACGAGTTTTTCATCCAAAAAATTAAGGTAGTGCTAAAACTTTAGGGGATAACCCCTAACACTTTTTTTCAAACCTCAAATAAAAGAAAGGGAGAAAAAAACTGTCTCGATTTAATTTAGTAAAGCATATAAAATTGGACAAACTTGTTTAATTCGACATAGACTCGTTTTCAATGACGAGTTTTTCTGAGTACGCTTTTCACCCCAGTAAAAACTCAAGTCACCGCGACGAGGTAAATCCCGAAACGAACGCACGAAAACCACCTTTCAAAGCATGAAATCGAAACACTCAATAACCCGATTTCCCGGAAACACATACGCTATTCCGTTTAAGAGCGCGGTAGGTGGATTGATAAAGTTACCAATTAAAACTACCGCGCTTTCAGAAACCGCACGAGTATCGAGTTTTCGCTACATAGCGGGGACCGAAAAACAGAGGACTTCTTCGCTTTGAGGCGGCTCGTAAAACCGGACCTTCCATATCCTCCGCATAATTAGAACCTAGAAAACACGACATAAACGTTGCGACTTGGGACATGGGAAAATGCTGCCGTGTTAGGGAGGAACGCCGTATGAACATTCATTCAATAGTTGCCGAATTTCCCTTGATAAAACAGGTATTTTTTATCAAGGATTTTTTTTATCATCATTTAATTTTAAGTAATTTATATTCAAGTGTCAGTAATTTATCATTAAAAAGTACTATAATTACATTAACATATATTAATTAGAATATAAGATATTAATATTTGTACACGGTGCATCTTTCAAATGCACCATCAAACACATACTTATGGACTGCTCTGCCCTCCGATATCTCCAATCACAGATCTACTCCTCTACAATCAAGAGAAATACAAACCACCTTACATGCGATGCACCCAATGTTACTACCAAAATTCTAAAACTCTTCACCTCTCTTAATTTAAAATCCTAAATTTTCGTATGTACTCTCATTTTCAAAATTATCTGTAAAGACGTTAATAGCCTGAGACGCCGAATGTCTTAAAATTATACTAACTAACTAACTAACTTTATACGTTAAAATGCACTTCCTCCTTATTTTGGGCATAGCCACTGTCTGGCTACGTTCCAACATCTACAGAATCAAAGAAAATTTCCATAAAACAAAAGACAAAACAAAACAAACAAAAATAGCATGTATTTTTTTACAACATTCATGCATACTTTTTCCTAGAAATTTTCACATATTTAAGATTGAATTGCATAAAAAAATTATCTGAAAATTTTGAAAAATAATGTTCACAATTAATTTTCCCAGTAGATTCGGTTTTTATCGGAGGAAACTTGGCAACGTCTAAAGGCTCATACGGCGTTCTTCCTCAGCACGGCGGTATGAGACACGCACACGCTGGCAACAGTGAGTTCCATATCCGGTATCAAAGCTAGGAAGCTCAAAGCCCCAGGAATTGAAAAGGATACTCTTTATGTCTCGAGTCACTTTATGACCGGGTGCATGGAGGCTTGGGTCAGGCAGGACCCTTGATAACATTCTGCATTTTTGCGAGAGGTCGGTTTGCTCTTCCTGAGCGCTAACCCGACCGGGCCGCCCGTCGCCCACAAAGACAAGGAGTCAATTTCACGTTCTCGGAATCGGCGCATTTGATCTATTGTTTTTGGGCCCGAAAATTCCATCAAAACCATTGGAATGATGTGCATACGTTTGAAACTTATCGTATCAGGATCGTTTCATACTGCCCTGCTAAGGAAGAACGCCGTATGAACATTCAAAAGTTGCAACGTTTTTCAAAAAAAAATATGTATTTTTAAGGAGAGTGACTCATTTTCCTTGAAACTTTCATACATTTTGGATCAAATTGCGAACGATACTGTCTGAAAAATTGGGGGAAAAAAATCAAAACGGGAGTGAATTTGGTTTTTATTGCAGGAAATCTGGTAATGTCTAAAAACACATACCGCGTTTATCCTTAGCACGGCAGTATACCAATACGCGTAAGAAACACAACAGCATGAGATGATTCGATCACATTTTTCGCTTCGCTCGAAAATCCCCTTCAATTAGGCGTGATACTAAATCACCGCCGTGGCGTTCGAATAGTTGTATGCTGAATCTGCCCGTGTTCAATGCGAGGAAACTGAAGGGGCTATACTGGCGGACGTAGATATATTTTGTTACTTATTGACTTAATGATAGATTGCACGCTTTCGAAAGGACTGATGAATTATATTTTTAGTGGTTGAATTTAAAATCCTTGACCAAAGAGTCAACCCGACTTTGCTTACCCGACTGTGATGTGTAGCTTTTCTTTCTTTTTTTAAATGTACTTTCTTCCTTTCATCCGGTTTAAAATGGGTTGTTACAACCCTGAAACTTCTCGGCATTTTAAAACGTCAAATGTTTACTTTCCTACTTTTAATTTCCTGACTTTCACTGGCTCTTCCCAGTCGCCGCAAGTTTCCCGTCTTCTCCAGTTTCCAAAACCACCGCACAGTGGATCGAGTCAACTGGAGGGGTCGGACATGACATGTTTCACTTAAACTGCATATTCAGAATTTCAGACGTTTATTTCGTCATATTTTAAATTTTTTGGGGTGCTTCTTGAAGAAAATGTCACGAGGAAACCAATGCACTCACTTTTAGGACCTTAAAATTTTGTATAAGCGGAGTTTTAAGCGTTTTAGGTTTCCAAATTTTGTCCGACCTACCCTATTGATTCCATTCACTGTGCGCCGGTAACCCTGTTACGGTTTATACGACCGACATTTTTCTAAGTGTGCGGGTGCGTTTAGTATCCACTCTTTTCTAATAAAATCATTTTTAAGACGCTCGATAGACGATGTGAGGAAGGCAAGTAAGACGGTCGATGGATAGGAGTGAGGAAGGGGAGTTCAAAGGCCAGAGTTTTAAAAGAGTGGGTCATTACTTTCAGAGGCCTTTCTATAGTCATGGACAGCTATACACTGAAAAAAAAACTCGGTGTATTTACTAAGAAAAGGGTAAAATTACCAAGAATTCAGGGTTCTATTTGATCCCAGTTTTTTCTTGGTCAAATTACCATTTAGGGAATTGGTAATTCTACAGAGAAATCTCGGTAAAATCATTGAACTTTCTGGGTAATTTTACTGGACCTTGGTAAAAACGCCAATATTTTTTATCGACTGTGGTAGAATTACCGAGATAAAATGGCAAAGTTACCGGGAATGGATCACCAATAAAAGTGGTATTCTCACCTGGAAAAAAACAGTAAAAATACCGGTTTTTAGGTAAGCTTACCAGTCGGTCCTGGTAAAATTACCAATAATTGGTAAAAACGTGAGATGGTAAAGGTACCAACGGACCGTGGTAAAAACGCCGAGAATTTTTTTTCAGTGAGCCGCCAGGGGGCGAGCCCCCTAGATCCATTCGAAAAAAAGTGGGGACACAAAGTTTTAAGCTAGAATGAAGATCCTCAAGTTTGAACATGGTAATGTCGAATACGAAATTTGAGGAACATGTGGTTCCCAATAAGTCGCACTGCTCATTGTCAGAGCACAGCCCGCCTGACGTCAATCGCAAAAACTTCGGACCGAACTCGAAGCTCGATTTCGCATTTTGGCGCNGGGGGGGGGGGGGGGAGGAGGAGGAGTGCGCAGGGCGCAGGGCTTGGCAGCGAAGTCCCGGTCGTCTGTTTTTAATAAACGGAGGAATAAATTAGAAACGAATGAGAAATGACTCGTTCCCGGTTGACAGATCGCTCCGCACTTCTCTACAAAACCGATCTCATATCCCGCAGCTTTACTGCCGTGCTAAGGAAGAACGCCGTGTGAACATTCGAGAGTTGCCAAATTTCTCTCGATAAAATGTTTATTTTTGAA